TCTGCTGGGGGAACATCAGCACCCACCTGCGCAAACCGCTCTCTGGCACCTTCTGCCACCTGGATTCGCTCCTCACCCCCGGTGGGTTATCAGTGTGACGCCAGGCATGGGATTGGCTGTCATTAATAATACATGAGGCTGCCACTTGCTGGCTGGGTGCTCTGGCGCCCTCCGCCGCGGAATCACCGCACGGAGTGCAGGCAGAAAAGGGGCACCTGCAAGCTCCGAGAAATTGCTTTAAAAAAATAATGTGCCAAGAGAAGCCAGCGGGGCTGTCTAGGGCTTTGCATGGAATGTCACTGATATGACTGTCTGACTGCTGGACCAGGCGCTCAGGGCAGTGACCTGCTGGCGCTCAGGTGTAGAGTTGCAAGGGATTCCCAAGCGCATCATCTAGTCCAAATCCTCAGTGCAGGAATCACAACTGAAGAATCCCTGACGGATGGCCATTCCAACCTCTGCTTAGGAACCTCAAATGAAGGAAAGTCCACCTCCTTTCCAAGGGAATGCCTTCCACTGTCGAACTGCTCTTACTGGTGGGTCTGTTCCCTGGAGGTGGCTGACCTGGAAAAGCCAAGATAGGCACAGAGGTTGGAGGGTGAGGGCTTTCAGGATGTTATACCCATGTCCTGCTTCAAGGGTGACGGCTCCCCTGCCGTCATGAAGCTGGAACATGTGCAGGGGAGGGCAACCAAGGTGATCAAGGGTCACCAGTGTGAGAGAGCCAGTGTGGTGTAGGACTTAAGAGCGGTAGACTCGTAATCTGGTGAACCGGGTTCGCATCCCCGCTCCTCCACATGCAGCTGCTGGGTGACCTTGGGCTAGTCATACTTCTTTGAAGTCTCTCAGCCCCACTCACCTCACAGAGTGTTTGTTGTGGGGGAGGAAGGGAAAGGAGATTGTTAGCCGCGTGATAAAGTGGGATATCAAATCCAAACTCTTCTTCTACAAACCAAGCCTTATGAGGAATGGCTGGGGGAGCTGGGTTTGTTTATCCTGGTAAAGGGGAGACTGAGCGGAGCAATGATAGTCGTCTTCAGATATCTAAAGGGCTGTCACATGGAAGATGGAGCAAGCTCCCCCCCCCCCCATGTTCTGGAGGGTAGGACCTAAACCAATGAATTAAAGTTACAAAAATGAGATTCTGGCTAAACTTCCAAAAGAAGTTTGGTAAGAGTTGTTTGACAGTGGAACGGACTCCCTTGGAAAATGATTAACTCTCTTTTATTAGAGGTTTTTAAACAGAACTGGATGGCTGTCTGTCATGGATGCTTTTGTTGTGATTCCTGCATTGCAGGGGGGTTGGACTAGATGGCCCTCAGGGTTCCTTCCAACTCTACAATTCTCTATGAGTCAATAATGGTGCATTACTGGGCCACCCACACCTCCTTCTGCTTTCTTAGTTGTTCTGCAATGCTTCCCCACAATGTTCCCACACAATTGCCATCTAGAGAGGCCCTTTTGCACGGTACCCCACAAAAGTGGGACAAAATACACCAGAACATTTATTTATTTCTTCTTATTTCTTTTTATTAAATTTATATCCCACCTTGTGCCCAAAGGAGCCCAGGGTGGCAAACATGTCTGTGATTTAAAAAAAAAAATCAATTGAAATAAAAACATATTTAAAACATTATTTATTTATTTTTAAGTTCAAAACAACACAATAAAGCTTCTTTAAAAAAAGGAAAAACTTTTCACTTCCGGTTTGAAAAGTTGCAAGAATTTAGCAGGAAACTCCGGGGTGTTGCTCCTGTTGCAAGTGAAGCTGGATGGCAGACTTTCACAAGTGCAAGTAGATGTTGGTCTGATAATATCGTAATCGAGACAGGGAGCCTCTCCATGCTGCTCAGATCCCACCCCAATGCTTCCCAGGCGAAAGAATGAACCACAACAGCCTTGGGCTTTCATCCTCCCTAGAGCCAGGATTCCCCCCACTCCCTAGATCAGATTAATTGTGCATGTTGCCTCATAGAGATGGTTGCTCTGCCAGCAGTTTTAGGGGAGAGACTAAGGCAGAAGGGAGCACCTCAGTTAAGCAATGCAGGATGGGTGGGGCCTGGGAGCTCCATCAGCATTTCCAGAGAAGGGGTCCTGGAGCAGAGAAATAACTGAAGGCAGCTTGTTTTAGAAGTGCCGCCACCGCTGCCCCTGCACGATGGACCAGGTCAGTTGAGCCAACTTTTGCCAGGACCTCAAACCCTCCACCAGATACTTGCAGCACCAGCTTGCAGTGGCAATGGTTCAGCCCTCCATACTTCTCACAGAATCGTACTTGTGATTCCTGTATGGTAGGGGGTGGACGACATGTCCCTTCAAACTCTGCAGGTTCTATGATTCTATGAAGCATGAAGGCAAAATCATGCCACTTCTCCATCCCTTGAGGACAGGAAGAACTATGAGCTTTTCCTGCGTTAACTACCAGGGTATCAGGGCTCCCACTGTGATTGTTTTTCCATGAGGTTGCCCCAGCCAGCATTCCTCAGGGATCATGGGAGTTGCAGTCTTGTAATGTCCGGAGGACCTCAGGTTCTCCACCTCTGGCCTAGAAGAATACCACCACTCCTACAGCTTTCCTAATAACTACTAGCCTATGATGGCCTCTCCTCAGAATCCAGGAGACGTGGGAGAGGAGCAGGAGGGGAACAGCAGTGTCATGTTGACATCGCTCAGTGGCCTTGTGTCTTCCCGATGACCAGAGGCAAGGAGAGGTGGGGGCAGTGGCCCATCTTCCCATCATAAGAACACAAGAAGATCCTGCTGGATCAGGCTAATGGCCCATCTAGTCCAGCATCCTGTTCTCACAGTGGCCAACCAGATGCCCCCAAAAAGGAAACCCGCGAGCAGGATTCAGGCACAAGAGCAACACTCTCCCTTCCTGCGGTTTCCAGAAGCTGGCATTCCAAAGCATTGCTACTACCAACTGTAGGGGCAGAGCGCAGCCACCCATACCTGTAGACCTCTCGCCACTTTCCCAGGCCACAACTCCTTTCTTCCCACTGAGCTCTGGAAACGGCTCTCAGGCAGCCACCGCCACCAGGAGGATGAAAAGCTCAAGAGCTGCAGCAAGAGCAGCCAAGTAGCGCATCATCACCAGCACCATCTCCTCCACCACCAGCACCACGGGCGAGTTCAGGCTGGAAGAGAAGCCAGTTCCTCCTCGGGGCCTCTTTGACAGCAGTGGGAGTTTGTTGGCGAAACACAGGATGAGAAAGACGAGTTGCGGAGCAGATCTCGGCTCCAGCAAGACGGGTTTGAGAAGTCCTGGGCCTCTGCCAAGGAGGCCCTTGCAACACGCACATCTCAGAGGCAGAACGAAGCAGAGGGAAACTGCTGGGATTCTGGCGTGGAAACAGCGCTGGCAACACCCTCCGAGAAGCCACTGACAGATGCCTCAGACGCAACTTTTCCATCCCATAACTGATTAACCGCCACGTCACAAAATGAGGTGGGGGGTGGGATGTGTGTTTGTGTGTGTGTCTAAGGGTGACTGTTTTTCACTGTGTACACTGAGATTCACATATCTGTAGTGGGAAATCTCCTCTTGTTTCCCTTCACGTATTCCTTCGAAGTGCATATTCCACGTGGAATCCAGTTAGGCGCTCTCCAAATACAGTGGACCCTCTGGATACAAATTTAATTCATTCCGGGGGTCCGTCCGCACCCCAAAAAATCTGTATACAGAGGCGCCGCTTCTGCGCACACGCGAGTGGTGAAACCTGGAAAAATACTTCCGGGTTTGCCGCTTTCACAACCCAAAGTTTACGTTACTCGAGAGTAACATAACCTGAGGGTCTACTGTATGAAGAGGATGCAAAGGCACTTGGTGACTTAATTGTCTCTTTCTACCATTTTTTATTTATTTATTTATTTATTTATTTATTTAAAAAAATGATATGCTGCTATGTCATATCTATCTATCTATCTATCACAGGCATAGGCAACCTAAGGCCCATGGGCCGGAAGCGGCCCATGGGGGTCGTTTAACCGGCCCATGAACCCCCGCTGCCCGCTCAGTTGGCTCCCATGTGCCATGCTAAACTGCCGCGGAGCAGAGCAGGGACCGCCTTCTGCAATGCTGGCCAACTTCCCATTGGCTGCAACAAGCTCCTGCAGCCAATGGGAAGCTGTGAACGCCTCCTCCACACCGGAAGGAGTGGAAATGGTGCTTGTGTGCACGCACGAACACACACACTGGCCCACCGTGGTGTCTGCAGGATCGTGAACTGGCCCATGTCCCAAAAACGTTGCTGACCCCTGATCTATCATCTATCTATCTATCTATCTATCTATCTATCTATCTATCTATCTCAAAGCAGTTTACAGCCATAAACCGTAAAAACCATACGTTAAAACGCATAAAAAGCTTGAAAGAGTTAAGAACAGTTAACCATTGTGAAAGGATGTGTTCCAAAATGCCTGCATAGGCCTGGCAGAATAGAAAATTTTCAGGCAAGTGTTTTATTTGCACATTGACAAGCAGAAGGTGAAAAAGTAGAGGCAAGTGGGACACCTCTTGCCCGCAAAGACCCATTTCCCAGGGATCTGACAGCCAAACACATAACAACGCTGGACATTTAGGAAGCAAATCCTTAACACTGAGTGACTTTGGGCCAGTTACTGCCTCTCAGCCTAACCAACGCCACAGGGTTGTTGTGGGAATTAAATGAGATGGGGCAGAGCCAAGTGCGCTGAGGGGGAGGTGGGATATAAATGCAGTAAGTAAATCAATAAATGAGGGGATTGGAGGAACCTGCAAGTCTTGCTCTACAGATCAACATTTTTAACCATGCAGCGGCTGGAGCATAGCAGGGAGTGAAGGTAACACCTTGGTGGTCCCTCCCAAGGATGGATCCCCTGTTTCTATTCCCTCTCAGCCGCATATATTGTGCCCAATGATCCTAGCCATGTGGGTCTGCAGTACTTAAGGGTCCCCCATGTGGGACCACAGCCTGAAAGGTATGGGTCACTCAAACAGAACTGAAAAATAGGCTGCAGGGTTATCTTAATATATTAATTTTTTTTTAATTGCGTTTTATCATTTTGTGTGGGAGCTTCCCAGAGAACAATGGTATCGGTGTGGGAGGGTGTGCAGCCAAAATCACAAACACATGATGGCTAGACGGTCACTAACAGAGGCAATGGCACCATGGAGGGGACCACGCATAGAGGGGACTCTGTGATGTCACACCCGCAAACCTGGTGGCGGGAAAAAGAAAATGCATTAATCCCTATCTCTTCCTTCCTGCACTCACTCTTTTCCTACCTGCAATGGGAGAAGACTTCTCTTTGTTTTCCTCCAGACAGCAATCTCCATTTTGAACTGGACTGTGGATATCTGTAACATTTTAAGGATTGTTTCTTGCCTGGTTTTCATCTGTTGGATCTTGGCAAGACCTTTGATGTGAGTAAACTTCGTTTACTAAACAGTCTGAAAGTGACATTTTTGTTAAACATAAAACAGGGAGGAGATAATCTAAGTCTGCCTAAAGCATCCTTGGATATCACAATTGTTCCAGAAGGTTATGCAACCTTGTCCTAATAGCATCCAGAGGTAAGCTGCACATGGATGGTGATTTTTAACTCTGCTGAAATAGATATTTGTATTCTCACATAAGCGAGAAAGAGGAAGTATAATTACTAATAAAATATCCTCTCCTACTCATTTAAATCCATCCAACAATTGGGTGTCCTTATATACAGTAAAAAAAATAAAACAACAGCAGAGCTGCAGACTCTGAGACAGGAAGGTCTGACATCCTAGCTCCATGAGCCTGGCTTGGTCAAATGTTCTCTCAGCTTGATGCCTGCTTTGCTTCTTGTATACATACCTGTACAAAGGGAAAACTACCCACAAAGCCACAGAAGGAGTTCATGGTTGATCTGAGATGTTCATCTGAGCCCCCAGCTCATCATGCTCCTGACTCAGTTTCCACACAACGGCCCTGTGAGGAGCAAGACAAAGAAGTCGTTGCCGTTCCCCCAAGAAATCTGTGTTGTACTTCCTAGGAGGAATAAAAGAGAGAGGATTGTGTGAATTGTTACTGTGGCACACACTCACACACACCCTTGCATGAATCCGACTGGTAAGATGGTCAAGAAAAGCACCAATTCCACAGTGGCATGTATGGACAAACCAATTCCCCATGTTCAGAAGTGCAATTTTAAGCAAGCATGAGTGAGTCCTTTACTCCTGAGCAAGCAACAGCCCCCAACTTAGATCTTTTAAGCCAATGAAATGTGCCTGAAGGATTTGGAGCAAGCCGCATAAGGCAATCAGACTTCATCAGAGGTGGCCTAGACTTTTAAAAAATATATAAATACTGCTCTTCACCTGAAGATCACAGGGTGGTTTACAATATAGAAACACTAAAATGCACAACACAGTAACAAACAAGAACAATACCCCCCCTTTCCCTTGCATTTTCCACCTCATGCTCAGGGCTCCTTTGCTGAGGGAGGACACCTTTGTGTGACAGACCTTGGCAACTGATAGCCCATCATGGACATCATGGATGATGAGACACCACTCTTCATCCCACAAAGACATCATGGATGATGAGACACCCTTCTCACCCTCCAGGTGATCTATGCAGGTTCTGAACTGTTTTTAAAGGGTTTAATAAAAGGGGAGCCCTTGTGTGCTTATGTATGTAGTCCTTTTAAAAAGTCTGCCATTCTCCCATTCTCCCATTTCCTCAAAGATTCTCCACCATTTTGCATCTCTTTCCCCTCTCCTCTCTCCCAGCACTTTTTACTTAAAATAACATTTATACCCCATCTTTCTTTGCAGGCAGATTAGGCAGCTCAGAGGGAAACAACAATGCAAAGCTAGCAGCAGCAAAATCACCAGTTCTGAAAGCTATACTAAAAAATGCCCCAGAAACTGAACCATTTTTAAAAGCAAGGGACACACACAGAGACCGAGAGAGCGCCAGATATTGCTCAGCCCAGTTCTCCAGAGAACCTCCCCGGCGCAGTGGGTTCACATGGAGATATTTTTGTAAAAAACCCAAAACAAAACAAAAACACCTGGGGACAAGAGCAGCCAAAGCCAGAGCAGCGGGTCCTCAGCACCAACTTCTGGAAGGACACAAAAGGGCACTGCCAGACCCATCCCAGGACCATCTCAGGAAGAAGTCCAGGGCACTTCCTTGAAAATAAATCCCAAAGTCCATTCCTGGCTTGTGGGATCTTTGCTTTGTTTCCCGCAAGCACCCCAAGATCTGTTCATCGGCCTAAACCAAGTGCAAAAGACAAATGCTTTGCGTCAAAGCATCTTGAGCGCAGGAGCTTCGCCTGAGTGCCCAGAACTGAAGACAGCTCACAAGGCTGCGGCGCAAAAACCTCCACTCCAGGCTCGGCTCGCTCTCTCGGCAGCCAGGCTCGTTTTGCTGTTGAGCAATGCTGCCTCTCAGCCTAACCTGCTTCTTGCCTCTCCTGCGGGAAGCAATGACAGATCTCGCCCCCCAGCCTTTTGGGTTGCTCGTGCCTTTTCCCTCCTTCCACTTTAGAGGCTATATTCCTGAGCCCCCACGCCACACACACAGAAGCCGCTTATTCGGTACTCGCGTCCCGGTAGGGATCATAAGAGCCTCTGAGCATGTGTAGAGTGGCCACTAGCCAACCACTGCACAACCGAGAGCCACCCCAGGCCCTGTCCGCAGCTGCCGAGCGCGGCCCGCCTGGAGTTGCGTCCCCGAAGGCGGGCTGACTGGCGCTTGGGCTCCTGCTTTTAACCTCCGCAAGAATTCGCTTCTGCAGAGCGAGACAAACGCTCCCCTCGCGCCCTTGCCCAGAGGCGAAGGCTGGCGCGAAGAAGCCGCTTGGCTGTCTCGTCCCCTCCGCAGGCCACATTTTATCCGCAGAAGAAACCTGCGAGGTAGGCTAAGACCGAGAGGGAGTGAGCTTCATGGCTCGAGTCCACTCCTCTCGTTCGCCTCGCCTTCTTCCTTCGGGCTGCAGATCTGGCGTCGAACCGGAGCCGGCGCTGCCAGAAACGCTCCGGAGCGGCGGAAAGGGACGCCCGCGGGCGCTCCTTCCAGGCGACTCGGCGCGAAAGACGCTCCGGGGAGATTCTCAGGCTAGTGCGGCGGCAGGAGTGGCGCTGAAGCCCTAGGAGCCGCCGGAGCAGGCAGGCCTGCTAAAGCCCCCGTCCCGCCCCCAACTGACCAACATGGCGTGGTCGAGCTCAGCTGCCCTCCTTGTCCCCTGGAAGCCGCGTTGGAGAGGAGCTGAGCACCACCCCTGTGATTTTTGCCCCCGATCGCCGTGAGGCTCTCTCAAGCAATCGCCCTCTGCCTCTTCACGGGCGTGGAAACAGCTACAGAAAGAGAAAGTTGGAAGGAACTCAAAGGGTCGTCTTGTCCAGCCCCCTGCTATGCAGGAATCCCAGCACAGAATCTTTGCCCTAGCCGTGCGTGGGCAGTCTGCAGGCTTGTAAAGTCTGGGACTGGGAGGCAATGGAAGTGGGGGAGCGGGCGAGTGGTACCCCCCCAGCCCAGCAGCCGTGAAGTATTTTGGCCAGCCACTAGCTTTCAGCTTAACCTACCCCGCAGGGTTGCTGTGAGGATGAAAAGGGAAAAGGAGGAGCACATGCAACGACTTCAGCTTCTCGAAGGAAAACAGTTTATTCACCAATGCATATGTATTGCTCTTTATTAACGCGGGAGGGGGGCTCTTTTCATTCCGAAGCTGGCAGGAAGCCAGCTGGTGACCCAGAGAATGAAGGTCTCATTCATACAACCGCTCATTAACTCACCAGTGGCTCACGTGCCATCCTGTGCCCGTGAGGATGGACAGCCTGTGAGTCACTGGCCTCGGTGGCTCCTCAGGTCATAGGGTGGCTCCATCGCATCCGCTCCCGCTGAGAAGCAGCACAAACACTATTTGCATAAGGTCAATAAACACATCCTGACATGGCTGTAGGCTGCGGGGGGGGGGGAGCGCAAGGGCCAAAGATAAGGCGCGGGGGGGGGCATTTCATCCCATCCTCCTTGTGCGCAAGAAACAAAAACTAGTTAGACCCCAACTCTGGAGGAGGGTGACTAGGCTTCTGAGATGATGGGAGCCCCCACCCGCCCCCACCTCTCCAACCGCTTGGCCTAGTTTTGCCCAACAAGCATTTCCGCCTGTGTCCTGCTGCTGCCGTCTGGGGAGAGTGTGAAAGTTGCAGGTGACTGCGCGCTGCTCTAAACTGCTTGAGGAAAGGGTGGCCAGGGAAAGGGGAAAAAATCCTTTTAATTTTTATTTATTTTTTATTTATTGCATTTACATCCCACATTTTTTTCTCTCCAAGGAGTTCAAGGTGGCGAACACATTTCCCCCCCCTTCTCATTTATCCCCCAAAACAACAACCCTGTGAGGGAGGTTAGGCTGAGAGGTGGCGACTGGTCCGCCAAGAACACCCAGTGAGCCTCATAGCCCAGTAGGAATTTTAACCCCGGTTTCTTCCAGGTCCTAGTCCGACACTACCCACTACACAACACTGCCCGGTTTTTAGATGGGGGCCACCTTGATGCTGGAACTCAGTCCTCCCGGCCCTGCCCGTTCCGTGCTGGGAAGACCCAATGTGTGCCCTGCAGGCAGGAGCGCCCCTCTCCCCTCTCCCAGGGCCAACTCCTAAACAAAGTTCCCAATGGAAAACGCCCGGAGGAGCCCGGAGTGCTGAACCCGGATCTGGCAGATGGGCACTGGAAAGAGAAGCCTTCACGCGAGGGTCGAATAAAACCTGAAACGTTTGTGCCCCTTCCAGCTTCCTGCGTGGCAGTAATGCGAAGGAATGGCTGAGCTCCATAAACGTGGTCCAAGGTGAGTCTCTGCCCCGCTCAGCATGCGGAGCGCGCACCTGGAGTGGCTCAGCAGCCCAGCACACCCTCATAAAAGCAGCTGGGAGGATCGTCTCATCCCCACGGCGTCCCCCATTCTGCAAGGGGAGTTGGGGGAGGAAGGGAACCTCAGCAACACACGAGCCCCTTATCCCATCTTCTCCAACCCGGAACCATCAGACAACTATGGCATCCCTTTCTAGAAACAAGTGACAGGAGAGAGAATTGTAGAGTTGGAAGGGACCGCAAGGGTCATCTAGTCCAACCCCCCGCAATGCAGGAATCGCAACTAATGGTTCTATGAAAGATGGCCACCCGACCTCTGCTTACAAACCTCCAATGAAAGAGAGTCCACCACCTTCCGAAGGAGCCCGTTCCTCTGCCGAGCATCTCTTGCCGTCAGAAAGTTCTTCCTAATGTTAAGTCGGAATCTCCTTTCTTGTCATTTGAATCCATTGGTTGCTAGTTCCTAGGATTTAAGCTTCTGTCAGCAAGCTTGAGAGTAACGGCCAAACCAGCTCTGGGAAGCTCAAACTCCTTCTGCTTCTCAGAGGAAGCCGTGCGCGGCAGAGCTGTGGAAACAGACATCAGCATCAGGAATGTGGGCAAGGGGGCGAAACTAGGCACTCACCCAGCGCTGTGGCCTCAGGGCCCTCCCTCTGGGTCCATCCAGGTCCCACTGCGGAGACAATTCCCGGAGAACCAAACATGCCTGAGAGAAGGACATCGAGAGCGTTGGGCGAGGATGCGAGGATCGAGAGCGTTGGGCTCCCCTTCGGCCTCTCTCCGGAGCAGAGGCGCCCTCTCAGCCTCTCGCAGGCACGTTCCCTCCAAATTGGAGAGGAAGGTACACGCCGCTCCGCCCGGCAGTTTTGCAAAATCGTGGGCCTTAGAGTTGTTAAGGGGAAGGCACAAAAGCGGGGCGATCTCTTCCTCACCCCCGAAATTCTCTCTCCCCCTTTCCCCACGCGAGACCCTCAGGCCCGAAAAGGAGAGAGAAGCTGGGCAACGACGCGAGGAAACCCCCCGACCCGAGTCTGAGATAGGACCCATCTGGAGGGACTGGAGTGCGTCTTCCCCCCCGCCCCAAAAAAAGACCCTAGTGCCAACCCCAGCCGGCAGACTCACCGGGGCAGCGGCGGAGCAGGGGGAACCGGCGCCCGAGCTCCGGGAGGCTCCGCAGACGCGGCGCGATTGCTAGGGCGCCGGCGACCCCGCGCTGACTGGCTGGCTGGCTCTCGCGTCGCGTCCCGTCCCGTCCAGCAGGTGCTGCCGCCTTCGCGGCCGCGCCGCTCCCCCCACGCGCTGAGTGGCCGAGCGGCGCGCCCGGCGCGCCTTCCCGCTCCAATCACGGCCGGCGCCGGCAGACGGGGCGGGGGCGTCTCCCTTCGCCGGGGGCGCCCTATGGAGGTGCGGTGCGGGCTGCCAGTCGCGGGTGGCGGAGCCAATGGGGCGCGCGTGGGGGAGTGGCCGCGCGTGGGGCCGAGCCGGGACTCTAAAGCGCGTCCCCCCGCCGAGGGGGCCCCAGTGAGAGGCGCGCTGCGCGGGCCAGCCGACGACCCGACCCCACGCGGAAGCAGCTGCCGCCATGGCCACCACCACGGCGCAGTACCTGCCGCGCGGCAGCCCCCTCCTGGCTGTGCCCACGCCGGACGCCGAGCGCCTTCACCAGGGCCCCACGTACCGCGAGGTGCAGAAGATGATGCACCACGAGTACCTACAGGGCCTGGCCGCCACGCCGGGGCACCCCATCGGCAGCCTCCCGCACCATCAGTGGCTGCCAGGCGCCACTGGAGACTGGGGCGGCGGCGGCGGGGGGACCCACCTGGAGCACGCCAAAGGGGGCGGCGCGGGCCCGCGAGGAGACCTCGACGGCTTCCACTCGCGCTCACACCTGGTGCACCAGCAAGCGGGCGGAGGAGGAGGCGGCGGCGGAGCGCACTGGGGGCAGGGGGCTCCCGCGCATCACCTGGGCGGCTGCCCCTCGGCCATGTCCCCGACGGCCGCCGGTGGGCACCAGGCGCTGCTCTACTCTCAGGCGGCCTACCCGGGGCTGAACGGGATGCTGGGCCCGCAGGCACCGGCCTTGCACCTGCCCCATGGCCACGCGCCCCACGGCGGTCACCACCAGCACCATCCGCACCAGCACGAGGAGGCGGAGGCGGCGCACCTGGAGGGCTCCCCGCCGCACCTGGGCCACGCGGGGGGCCACGAGCCGGGGTCGGCGGCGTCGGACGAGGAGGCGCCCAGCTCGGACGACCTGGAGCAGTTCGCCAAGCAGTTTAAGCAGCGGCGCATCAAGCTGGGCTTCACGCAGGCCGACGTGGGGCTGGCGCTGGGCACCCTGTACGGCAACGTCTTCTCGCAGACGACCATCTGCCGCTTCGAGGCGCTGCAGCTGAGCTTCAAGAACATGTGCAAGCTGAAGCCGCTGCTCAACAAGTGGCTGGAGGAGACCGACTCCAGCACGGGCAGCCCGGCCAGCCTGGACAAGATCGCGGCGCAGGGCCGCAAGCGCAAGAAGCGCACCTCCATCGAGGTGGGCGTCAAGGGCGCGCTCGAGAGCCACTTCCTCAAATGCCCCAAGCCCTCGGCTCACGAGATCACCTCGCTGGCCGACACGCTCCAGCTGGAGAAGGAGGTGGTACGCGTCTGGTTCTGCAACCGGCGGCAGAAGGAGAAGCGCATGACGCCCGTCGCCGCACCGCACGCGCCCGCCATGGACCAGGACCTTTACGCGCAGGGCGCCGACGCCTCGCCGACGCTCCAGCACCACCATCAGCACCCGCACACGCTCCAGAGCCCCGGGCAATGACTCGGCCCGGGCGGGGACGGCTCCCGAGGACTGGACTGGCCTGCCTGGGACTGGCTGCGGGACCTGCCCGCAGGGCCAACGGACTGCGCCCTCGGGGGCCGGCCGAGAGAGCCCCCGGCGCGGCCCTAGGACAGACAGATGGCCGAGCCGCCCCGCCCGACGACGACGCCGCCGGACCGGGCAAGCAGCAGCAGAGCGCGCAGAGGCGCGTTAATTTATTCCTACGCCTGCTGGCGATCGACTCTCTTTCTAATTTAAAGTCTCTGTATTTATTTCAAACTCCACCGACCGAACCTGGAGCAGCAGCAGCAGCAGCAGCAGTCTTATGGCCGGCGGGAGAGACGCGAGAGGCCCAAGGTTTGAGCTGGATGCGGGTTTCTTCTTGCGGGGGGCGGGGGCGGGGGGGCGCAACCTCTATTGCCAGCCGGGCGGTGTCTGGGAGAGGCCGCCTGGGCTCCCCAAAGCGACCCACAAGGGACTCTGCGCTCGCTTCCACTTTGCCCCTTGAATCCCGCAGGCGCGGAGGTTGAGGGACCGGGTCCGAACTGCCAGCACCCGACTCCCGCCCTGGCCCTCTGTGACTTCCCTTTGCTCGCACGCCAGGTCCGCCCCGGAGCCGGGGCCCGTCTGTTGGGCCGGGTCCGCCTCTGTATCATCCTGCTCCGTTTTTATTTATGTTACAGCCAATATTTTATTACTCGCATAAAACATTTATCCAGGAACCCGCCTCGTGTCTTTTTCTTTTTTGTCCCCATCAGCGCCGGAAAGAGGTGGAGGAAGGTAGGACAGGGCAGGACAGGGCGCGAGGCAGCTTCCAAGGCGGCGGCGGAGACTATGGACTCGGGCAGAATTAAGGCGCTGGGACCCCGGAGACGGCTATCGCTTCCCGCAGCCCCAGAGGTTTTCTTTCCTCCGCCTCCGGCCCCACTGCCTTAAAACTCCCTCCAACGGTGGATAAATTTTCCCGTGCCCCTGCTGAGACCCAGCGCCGGCCCCCTCAGGCCTACAGGAAGCGTCGGCGACCCCAGTCGGGCCGTGCGTTTGGCTCTCTCTATTTCCCCAGAAAACGGTGTTCTCTGGTCCACCAGGGTTGCTGAAGAAAGGGCCCGCTGCTCTTTGAATGCTCCCGAGGGCTCCTCAACTTCCCTGGGAGGCAGCCATGGGCTGCCGGGCTTCTCTAGCCGGTCCCGCTCGGGCGGGCAGAGCCGGACCCTACAGAGGCGCTCGCTGGCCGGGTCAGGGCCGCTCACCTGCCTGCCTGGTCTCCGCTTCCCCACGGAGGCCCCTTCTCCGTCCTCGAAGCGCTTCGGGGTGGCAGCGAGGCGGTCCTCCCGGGTGCAGAGAGCCCTTCCCAGTAGATTAGGAGGTTGTCGGGACGAAGCCGGCAGGGGAAGGCTAGTTCAATTCGGGCTTGCCAACCAGGTTGCGAAAAAGTCAGTGGAATGCGAGGCGACATTTTTTGTTTTGTTTTGTTTTCCTGCTGGGACCTCTCGGCCCAGCTTTGTGGTCCTTGCGGAAAAGTTCTTTCTTTCTGGAGGGTTTTGAACTCTTCCTTTTCAGCGGCTGCCGCGGCGGGCGAGAAATCCTGCCCCCACTGGCCGCATCTTTTGTTATGTAGGAGCCTGGACCAATTTGGAATCCCCGCAGGGCAATAATTCACCAAGTAAAAACAATCTAGCAAACACTTTTAAGACAACAGCCTTTGAAAAAAGTTCTTAGATTAAACAGTGAACTAATTGAAACTGGGTGGTTTCAAACTGGCGGTTAGGTTCATTTTATTTAGGACAATGCTATAGATGCCTGCGTGAGCTCAGTGAGGCATGGGCACAGAGAAGCGTAAGTAGGAGCGCAGCCGTCTGAATGCGCTTCTATGCCACCTTATCCGCTCATCTCTGCAAGGTGGCGCTTGTAAAACGAGGAGCCCTCAGTGTTCCGAGGCCGATCCAAGAGAAAGTTCTCCTTGCCTGAGCCTCACTGAAATGAAAGGGCAACCCAGAGGGCGGGCAGGGAAGCAGGCAGACCCCCTACTCCCCAGCCTAGGCCATCTGTCTGCTGGTTCCCCTGAATTCTGCTGCGCCACACACAGCTCCAAAATTCGCCATTGTCTCCTGGTGACGCCGCTGCCGGGGTCACTTTCTGGCATAATCCGCCTGTCCGCGCTTGATGCAAATGAACACATTTCAGAGTAGAGGAGAGAACATGCATTTGGAAATCTGCTTCCCTCTCTGGATTGCTTTTGTCTTCCTTTTGATAATGCAAATGCCCAGGCGGAAATGAAAATGCAACTTAAAAGAAAGAAAAGAAACCCCCCAGAAAAGTCAAGGAGACTCATTCAAAGTGTTTGTTTCGCTGCTGTATCTCCAGGTCAGGGAGAGTTTGCGGTGGAATCTGATAGCCCAAGTGGGGAAGAGTTTAAGGAGCATCATTTGGGGAAGATGGTAAGTCTTTTTGGAGTTAGTCAGTCGCATGGCCTTCCTCCTCCTCCCCGCTATTCACATATTGAAAATGCAGAATCCGAGGGGGAAACCAGAGGACCCGCAGTCCGCAAAGTCGGCTGTGAAATTAGCCCAAGAGAAGCCGGTAAGGGGCAGGAAGCCCCTCCCTCGCCCACCTCAAGCCAGCCTCAGGCCCTGCTGCTTTCTCCGTCCTTCAGCCTGCACCCCCCGCCCCGCCGCCTTTCAGTCTTTCCAGTCTTTCGAGGCCACCCAGGGAGCCCTTTTCCTCTCTTTTCTGTGCTGTCAAAGGTCGTTTTAAGACAACTTTTGTTTAGCCCTGAAATGGCATTTCGTGCGAAAGGCACGACTCGACCAGGGTTGCTGCTGCTCGGAGGGGTGTCTTTTTTTTTTTTTTTTTTTTTTTGCTTGGGTTCTTCTCTAAGCTGCCGGAAAGCTGCGCTGAAGGGACCCTCTTTTGGGGGAACCAGCAGCGCGCCCCGATGCGGCTCTTCGGCAGAGCCACTTTCTAGAGTTGTCTCTGCCCGGATGGGGCTTGCTAGTGGCGGGGAGTGGAAGGTGCTGAGCCCTACCACGCCGGTTGCTTTCTCCCCTCCCCGAGAAAAAGACGAGGCCCCTTTCCTTGCGTGAAAAAAGAAGCCCTTTGCAAGAGGTGGGGGACTAAGGGGACTCCGTTCAGCTTTTCTCCGCTAAGAAGTCAGAGGAAGGGACGTCTTGGTCGCTCTGCTTAGGCGAGCGGGTTTTCTTGGGGCGGGCCAGAGGTGAAGAAGGCCGGGAGTCTTCGCTTCCAGGCAGCGGCCTCCTCTTCCCTTTGGGAACGTGGGAGCAGCCTCTGGAGATGTGGAGGGGGGCCGGGGTGGTGAACCAACCCTTTGGCGAACCTTCCGAAGCTGGCGACCAAGCCCCAAACGCCTTCCGCGTTTCCCTCCCCAGGATCCTCCTTTGTTGGGGAGGAGAGCTGACCGCTCCAGCCCCTTCCTTATCGGGGTCCCCCTCTCTTCTGTATCCCGAAGGCTTCTTCTGACGCAAATGGGGGCCATGCGAGAGCAGAGGGCGGCTCCCTTTGTCTCCCCAACAGTCCCAACACCCCCCTTTTCTTTTTTCCAATGGAAAGGGTCTTTCCTGTCCCCAACCTCCCCACCCCCTCCTCCGCGTTCTGGCCCATCATGGAACTGAGCCCTGTCCCCGCCCATCTGCTGCCCCCCCCCCACTGAGTCGAGCAAAGAACCGGCTGCTTCCTTATTGCCACCTTTCCAGAGAAGATGCGCAGGAGATCCTCTTGGCCTTGTCGGCCAGTTGTGTGCCTGGTGGCCCTGTGAGCTGAATGACTTAGGGAGCCGGCAACTACCTCAGCTGTGGTGGGTCCCATGGACTTGTCCAAAGGGCCCCTCGAGTGTGCGAAAGTGCATTGTCCCCCAGGGTCACGCGGGGGGGGGCGTTTCTGTGAAGACAGAGTGCCCCCTACCGCCTGGCAAAGGAAGCGCAGCAGAATACTAGGTCACTCTGGCAATTTGTGGGGCGTTGCGGGGGGCGGGGGTGCTTCTGCTGGAAGCAGAATATAAATGAGTTGGTAAGTTCCATCAGCTCACGAATGTTGATGAGACGGAAAGCAGGTTTCGGAGTGATATGGAATTCTGGACACATAAGATGCCGCAGGAGGGGAGGCAGCGACGTGCCTTTTTCTTAGGCAGCTGTTTCTGAGCGTGGGGAAGATCCAGAGTAGTTCAGGCCACTGACCTCCTGACATTTGCTCTTGCCCGGCTGCTGTTAAGCAAGCCCCCCCCCCATTGTCACGAGCCATTTTCATTTCAGATGTGCTCCAAAATCTTTACATTGTGAGAGGAGAGGGCAGAGGGGGAAGGGAGGGGGCGCTCAATCCGTGGCAACCAAAAGGCAGCACTAAGCCCCCTTCTCCTACCCCCACCACGCCCCACTGCGCCAAACCGTGTCCCTGTGAGCCAAACTGGGCTTTGTGGATGCCACCAGACGCGGCCCAGTCGTGACAACCCGAGGGAGGGGGTCCCTCCTCTCTCCCTCAGGATCACCCCAGAGAGCAGCAAAGGGGTTGGAGCAGATGGGGCGCGCGGGGGGGGGGAAGCACCACCGATTCAGTGGGGCTCCAAGAAGGGGCAGGGAGCTTGGCCTCCGCCTTGGCACCGTGTCCCGTCCTCTCACACCTCCGCCAATGGCGCGCTGCTGCTGCTTCTGCCACCACTGCACAAATATAAATAGACGGTGCCTGCAGCTTAATCAGGTGTTTTCCTCGGTGACTCACATCAGCTCTATCTGCAAAAGTTTCAATTAGATCTAATAAGAGCGGGCTTTGTTGCTGTGAGTAATCACAGGAAGGGCTGGGGAATTGGGAGGCTGCAAAGGCAGCATTAAAGTGCGCCGGGCTCGGCTTGCGGGGAGGAATAATGCGCGTGTTAAATCAGGCCTCCTGCATAATTCATGCCACTCGGTATCACGTCCCCTTTTCCCGGGTTGCCCTAAACCAATGTGGCTTCCCATAAAGACCAGGATCATTGTCTGTGGTTGCTGGAGGTGCTTCCCCAACAGCAGGGCAGGCTCTGGGGCGGCGGCTGATGCTGCTCCTCGCTCTGGGCTTTAAGTGGAACAAAAAAAGGGCTTTCCTGGGTCACATTTCTGGTCACCGGTGCAGAAATGCCCAAAGGCTTAGCTCCAGCATTCAGCTCCCTTTTGCTTCCTAACAGACAGCGGCCCTTTCTCATTCTGTGGGTAGTGGAATGCTGTTCACAAGTACAAAGATTTAAATGAGCAGACATAGGATTTCCTTCTAATGCTGAGCTTTTTATTTTTATATTAAATTGTGCTCTTCAGGCCACAATGGTTAAAATGTTGTTTTTCAATTTCCCTTTTTCCAGCAGTAGCCCTTTACATGGAATGATGCATTTCTCACTTGTTTTAAACAACTGTAACCTTTTAAACATAACCATTATTGGAGTATTATTCTCCGTGTTTTCATGAAATGAGCTAGAAAATGTGTTTTATTTATTCATGAGGATATAGTGAATTGCACTTAGGACATTTCAATTCAATTAAAATGTACGTGTGCATAATTTTATAATAGTTCATTTGAACTAAAATAAAATAAAATAACTGGATACACAAGATTAAAATAAATTAAATACCAGGAAGCCTTTTTGCAAAATTCGGAGAAGTCAAAAGCAAAATGTTTTTTTCCAGGTAATAACTTAAAGGACATCTGCTGGAAGGCGGGGGGACAATTCTCATGGTGCTTCGATCTAAACTGAGTTGTCAGTATCTGAAATTCTTTGCTTAACTTTGCCTTTGCCTGGACTGCCATGAATGTTGCTATAAACTGCGCACAAAAGAAAACTTAAGCATTTTGAAGGATTCTTGACAGAACTGGAAAAAAATGCACCACACTTGAAAAAAAAGGTATCATTATTTGAATTACAATCATTTTCTTCCCCTCTTTTAATTTCATTTGTTAAAATGGAGTTTAAAATTCAAGGAGCTCTTATGGATACAACATAAACAGTTCCTTGTTATTCTTAAGGATTTTAATTGTAATCTTGTAATCCAGGTTTTTAATTTTAAAATGGTCAGAAAGGGGTTATATTTAAATCTACATGTACTTCTAAATTATTTGGACATGTGTTTAAGTCTGTTTCTAAATGATTTGTGAAGCTGCACAGAGCCCACTTGCAGCTCTCTAGTTCCTTGGGGCAGGTATTTCAGGTCCTCAATTCTGGCCATGCATTTGGAGAAAGACTACGAATGCCTCTCCCCCACCTCCTGTCCTGTGGCAAGTCTCTGATGGAGGGGTTTTGGTGCAAACTCTGGCTGCTACAGCCCTTGACTTGGGAGGAGTCACCCCCACAAAGCACTCTATAAGCCTGAGCTGAAGGACAAGAACTGGACAACGGTGGCAAGCTTTGATTAAAGCCCAAATTCCTCACAACATCTTCATTCTGTTCTGTTTTTCACCCTGAAGGTTTTCAAATGTCTGTCACTGAAAGATGCCCCAAAGGGTCCCTGGGGAAAGGGCTGTTTTCTTCTCCTTTGCTGTGCTGGGGCAGGCCAGGGTGGCAGGCAGAGCGTCCTCCATGCAAGTTTATCACCCCATTTCCTCCAGTATAAACAAAGTCAAACAGAACTAGATTGCATCGTCTTTGCGAGTAGGTTTCTAGGGAAAACCTTCACGCAGAAATGTTTCTTGTTCGTACCTATTTTGTTTTTAACAAATGTTGTGGGTTGTTGTTTTTTTTAAAAAAATCCTGCCTTCCTATATAAAAACACGCAAAGTGAAGTTTGGAACCTCTTAGTTTGTAAAAAGTAATATGAAATGGGGTGCACACACATGATAGAGGGGTGTAAAATTGTGCATGGCACAGAGGAAGTGGAGAGGTGGAAGTTTTCTCACCCCCAACATTCTCATAACAGCACAGAAACTCAGTGTGTGGGGGGGGTGACGGACGCCTTCTTCCCACAGCACCCAATTAGGCTGTGGGAGTTGCTCCCACACAGTGTGGCGTTGGCCACATTGTGGGGCTTTGGCCTAAAGGAGGATCAGGCAAATCCAAGCCATGGTGTCTGCCTCCAGCCTCTAAGAGCAGAGAGCCATGCCTCCCAAGGCCAGTTGCAGTGGATCAATGGGGAGCAAGAGCCCTTTTCCCCACGGACTGCCTGTCAGCTTCCGAGGGGCATCTGGTTAGCCACTGTGGAAACAGGATTTATCACTTATTTATTTAAAAATGTACACTGCGGTATCATTTTATAAAAATAAAAAATCAAAGCAATTTAGAGCAATAAAAACATAAAACTATAAAGTTAAAAACAGCCATGAATTAACCATCGTGGAGGAGTGCATTCCGAAATGCCTGGTGGAATAGAAAAGTTTTCATTTAAAAGTTGGCACAGAAGGCGACTGCTGAACCTCTATTGGCAGAGTATTCCACAGCGCTGGGCCCATGATACTAATGGCCGATGACACTGAAGAATGATGCTGGCCTAGCAGCAAGCCCTTTGGTCTGATCCTACAGCCAGGCTCATCCTTCCACCACCTCCTGGGCAGGAACATGGAGCAATCTGGCAGCTGATGGCAATTTTGT